TATTTTACTATCTAATATCGTATGTATTTGCCATATCATCTATGCAGGTGAGCCAGCTGAACCTTTTGAATGCAAAATTCTTCACCGTGGAACACGCTTTCCGCAAACGGAGGCATGTTCGAGCACGTGTCCGTGGACCGAGGCAGCTGCCCTTCCTGGTGAGGTTTGATGATGGCCTTGATCCTGAGCACCGTGGCACCCACGGAAGGATGTTGGGATTTGGGTAAAGACAGACAATGTGGTGGTGTTGAAATTTCGGAAGACCCGATAGCTTTGGCTGGGTAGACGGGTCGCTTTTCCCGAAGAAGGGGGTCGTTGCCTGGGAGGTCTCCTATGAAAAAAACACGTGTGGAGAGAGCACTTAAAGCTGCAGAGAGCTGAAGCAGTGGCTTCCGATATTCTATTTTTTTTGTGGCATTGGTGGCATTTTCTTGTGGCCGAGCTCGGGGCTCGGTGGCTGAGAAACTCGATGAAACTTCTGTTGTGTCCAGAAATCATTTGCCATTCTTTTTAAGCCAGGGATTGACCCAGAACAAACTAAGTATTTGTTTGGTTTCCAGTTTCCACCTTCATTGGTCAAACATCGCATGTTGGAAAAGGCACCCACATGCTTTAACGACAGCCTCAACCCCGAAGAGTTGTTCATGCACAGTGCTGAGGGGCCAAGAGGTTCTCAAGGGCAGGGTCTCCTAGAACAGATGCCCTCATTGTGTTTCCTGGAATTTGCCAACAGCAGCTGAAGTTGCTGCCCTGAGGCTCTGCTGGTGTGAGGCGGAAGAGGTGAAAAAGCTGGAACACTGCGAAAAGGAGTTCCGCGAGTACTGCTGCCGCGAGGAGGACCTTTCGGCAGCGGATCAAAAACATTGCCGCTTCACTCAGTCACCCCAGTGGTATTGGTCAACATAGAAGGTTGATTCATGTTCTACCCGCCAAGCCCAGGATGGTTCTACATCTCCGTCTTCTCCTTTCTCATTCGTCCACCGCCCACGGTGAACATCGACCCCCAAGTGTTCTGATCCCGATGGGGCGAAGAATTGGGGGCGTGGTAATGCTCCCCAACGGGGGTCGCCGGTGTCCAGAGTGTGTCCGTTTTGGTGCACGGCAGGATCATCAGTGTCCCATTTGCTTCGCGGTCTTTGACGAACAGGAGGCTGCGCCTTGGGCTGAACAAAGAACCGCCTCTGCGCGTGACTGGTGTGACTTCTCCCTGGAAGGAGTTCGAACATGTGCCTCTTTGTGGGAAGTTTCTTGCGGGGAGTTCCTTGGAGCTTGCCCCAAGAAGTCCCTTTGGTGTATTCCTTTGGAACCGGTGTGGAGCGGTTTTGTTGTATGGTCGTAGAGCTCATGCCCAACGGCCTAACTTCTTGGGGCATGTGAAAGAGATGCCCACGCTCCCCCTGCGATAGCGTTGCGTTGCACAAGTGTAGGGTTGTCCAGAGAGATGACGCCGAACGGAAGCAGCTCATATAAGTACAGCGGTTTCAGAGTAGATGGCAAACTAGCTCTCCCAATCTTCCAGGCACGCCGAGGGTTGTCACTTGCCTTTTTTTAAGAGGTTCTTGATGTGTACATTCCTTTGTCCTTGCAACCCTCAAGGGTTGAGGGAAGGACATGAACTGCGTGTGTCCAGGAGGCTTGGCACAAATATGGCCTGCACCATAGTGGGAAGCATCATCCGCACCCAAATCCGGTGCTGCTCCGTGGTCTGCTCTAAGGACTGCCGGGTGGTCACGCCCTGTGGCCACACCTTCTGCCGTGAATGTATCGAACGCGCGCTGGCCGCCTGCCAGACCGGTGACCCGACCGTGCCCCGGTGCAGAGCACGATGCCGGTGGAGGGGAAACACACACTGTATTATATATATATATAATATATATGTGTTTTTTCTTTTGGAACGTTTGTTTTCTTGGACTTCGTGTTTTTTTCACTCTACTACACCATCACTAGATCCGTAAGCTTCCAACCGCCATTGATTTAGCCCTTACCGAACAACCATGGTTTTACCAAGGTTTTTCAACCCCCGGCAAACCAGCTTAAGCCGTTTTGAATGGCCTTGGAAGGCAGTGGAATCCTCTTCAGCTTTTAATCGTCGTCCTGATTCCACTGAGCCTTTACCCCCTCGGTAAAGGGTCGTTCGGTAAAAAGATCCCTCGAACATCCCTCCAGCCGTTCCATCTCAGGAGAGGCCATGCCCAATTTGCCGGCAGACGGTGAGCTTGTTCTCACTGCAGATGGCCACCACGGGACAGAGGCCACTCGTGACACATGGAAGACGTGGACGTGGACATCGCATGAAACCGCCCCACCGATCCGTCACCAGAGGTCATTGTTACTAGTAGCTTCTTGCTCCTAGTAGCGATGCCAGGAGCCCCTAGTAGCTTCCTGTTCTCCCAGAAGTCACCCATCGAAACAGACATTCGAAGTTCCGGACATTCGCACGACACGTCACGAGAGCCGCTGAGTTCGCCCGTTTCCGTTTCCAACATCCATCGCTCCATCTCCCAGTACGAAGCGACACTGAGACCAATTTTGCCGCTCCTCCAGGATCCACTTCTTGAGCGCCGACCTGTCCGCGCTCGAGGGCAGTGTCTTCGTCCTCCGGAGCCACGGTGAGGTGCGTAGGCAGTGCGCGGTCCCCGAAACCAATTGCAAAAAGATCCTTTTGTCGAATCGAACGATGTCGATGCATTCTGTTATTTCTTCGGTTGGAGGTGTTCTTCTCCTTTGATGATCTTGAGCTACCTTGAAAACTACCTTTGGAGTTGACCTCAAAAAAGAAGTTCTGCTTGTTTTTGCTTGGTGGGTCGTACACTTGCCTGCGTGCAGATGATGCACCCATGCCCAACCCCCCTGGTAGTTCATGTGGCTCACGAAACCATGTGGCTCGGTTTGATTCCAAGAGGTTCCAAGACCCAGAAAGCAAAGCAAAGAATGTCTTGATTGTTCCTGCAAAGCCACTCACTCTGGCAGAGCCAGGTGGGCTTTGCGTCCTTCCACTTCGAAGGGACCACAGCTTACATTAGTAACTTGGCCTTCAGTAGTTACGAGGGCGATGTATGGCTTCATGATTCATGTGTATATGATGTTTTTTTTTTTTTGTACATCGAGTCTTCAAATGCACCCAAGCTGTAGCAACATTGGACGCGGGGCCATGGGGGAACTTGATGCCTAAAGTCGGACACTGAGAAACTAGAAGAATCGATGTTTGGTTGGGGAACCAGTTAGCTGAAACTCTTGCAAAGATTGACCAGATTGATTTGGGAAGAACATTGGAGGCCTTGGCATGGGCTTCCCTCCAATGAGATGTGGGTTGCCAGTTGTTCAAAAGGATATGTCAGGTCTCAACATAAGATGGTGGGTCAGAACCAGTTCCACCAATCATGCGTTCGTTTGATGGAAGTCGTTTTTGGTGCGAGTTCGCCCAACACCCAAACTGTGCCACCCACCGTGTTTCAGCCCTAAAGCTACTGGGGCCGTCCGTCAGGCCATAGCTCCATGAGATGTCGCTGGGCTGGACTGGTCTTGGACAATGGGACTCGCCCACCCGAGCGGCAGTGCCTCGAGCTGAGAAGTCCAAGTGGGAAGAGAGGTAATACAGCTGGGTTCCGAGACCCACATGACCGGGGGCGGTTTTCAGGTTCCATGAGGGCATAGCGGCATAGAGATCAGATTGTGTGAAGCGGTGGGGCCTCCTAGATGGACGTCACTCAATGAGTACCTTGGCTGTCGAGCTCCATTTAGTGAGCTTCTACTGCAGTACTGCAGTGTTACTGCATTTTTGACAAAGATTACCGAGAACTCCGCTGCCAGCTGGGGTCTGTGTGCTCCAAGGCCTAATAAGGTCCGCAAGTTGAGTGGTCTCAAACCGGCGGGTCGTCTCGACTGAAGACAGCGAGGTGTTGAACTCCAGATAAAGGGTGTTGATTTCTGGCGAATTTGTATGGCTCAAAAGAGTTCCCAAACTCATTGGTGAGCCTTTTCAGTGCAGTCACGCGTGGTCGCTGGACCAGGTCTTGATCAGTGGCCTCGTCACGACACACATGTTCGACACAGCGTGGCTGAGGTTCTTGGAAAAGACCTTCTGGCACGAGGGCAGCCGATGCTTGGCACAAACCGGTGACACCGATGCAGAACAGAACGCCGAAAGCGGGCCTTCCATCCCCATGGAACATCTCTGCAGCAACTGCGATGACTAGACCAACTAGATGCTTGGTGAGTGCACTCCCTGGAAATATCATGGTTACGTGGCATGGTCCCAAGTTCGGATCACCAATCTGAGCGACGCGTCGACCAAGAAGCATGGATTCTTGGGGGCCTCGCACCTGAAAAGTGGAGCTGCAAACATGGAAGGTGGGGGTTCTTTGCAGTACCCCCTGAAAAGTGGAGCTCCCCTCACCCTTGGTCTTCAACACTGGAGTTTGGGTCGCGATCTTGTGTGTGTTGCCATGCAACTGTTGGGGGGAATTGGGCTGGGATTCAAGCGTTTGACTTTCCCCTTGGTCATGGGCAGAAGCTGTTGACTTCCCCTTTTCAAATCCTTTTCTATCCTTTTCTTATTTTCACCCGAACTGGAAGATCCGTTTAAGAGTGGATGTTTTGGGCAATGGTGTTTACGTTTGCACTCCGTGAGACAAGCATGGAAGCAGAGGATTTGTGGTGAATCTTCGAAAGGATAGGGACAAGTGAAACACATGCAAGCCAGGGCAGGGAATCTTCCGTCGGAAGCATTCCAGGTTTTGGGGAACACAAACATTGAACAGGGCAAAAAGGGAAGATCACGAATGAATCTACGAATGGACCAACATCGTGTCGAACGTTGTTTCTCTTCAATTTGTGTCCCGAGTCGAAACCGAATTCTTAGGCCAGAAAACATCTCTTTGCACCAATCTTCTCCCGGTTTTTAAGACGAACATGGTGCGGTTTGAGCTGCAGGAACCTTCCATGGGGAGCTCACCTGGTCCCCCGACACCTGGTACGGGGCGGAGCGCTGGCGTGTGGTCATGCAGTTCTCAGCGGACTTCACGCCTCTTGGAGAGGATTTTGACCTGGTTTTGCCGGATTCTGAGCTTTGACCCGCTCTTAGACGGGTTTGACTCCCCGTTTTTTCCCCGGTTTGATCTAGGGTTGTACCCGTGGGGGACTTGTGGGGGCTGGGGAGACCTGCAAGACAATCTTACGGATCATCGCAGCATGTCCAAGAATGTCCTTAATATACTGATACTACTATATAACAATAACAAAAACTAATATGGTAATAATAATGATAGACTAATATATATATAATATATATATATATACAGTATATATATATACACACACACACACTTGTCTATTCTAGATCGCTAACCACCGTAGACTAAAATCCAAGCAACATAAAATGGGAACATGCAGGAAAACGATGTCCTGCTATAAACAGGTGGTTCTCCACTTCATTCCACTTCCATCATCAGTGAATCGGGGTGTCTACCATGCGTTTTTGCACCAAAACCTACACGACCATGGCGATGGCCCGTTGCGTCGGATGACCATGAAATCCTCTACAACCCGGTGGTGCCATCCACTTCGATTCCCAAGGAGTGAAGGGGGTTCCCGGCACGTTGTCAAGCCTGCTGGGCGTGGTGTGAGGTATGTGACCACCGGGGTGATGAAGCTCCGCAGCCACAAGAACGCCTGTTTGCTGGATGGGCTTTGGCGTGTGGAGTACCCGTCCGAGAGCGGGCGGAGTCCGGTGGTGATCCGAGTCCAGGGTGGAATGTGGGAGATGAGGCTGGATGGGGGATGCGAGGGTGAATGAGGATTTTGGGGTTGGAAATGGTTGGGAGGACATCAATCTGGTGGCTTGAGCTCTTTGCCATCATGAGCTGTCGCGGACAAGTTACTGTATAGATCTTGTTATCTCACACACCTGTGGAACATAGTCAACAGAGATTGCGGCAACCTCCCACACCAGGAAGGCTTCCTTTATCTTGTTCTTTTTTGCTTTCCCTTAATGTTGGGTCCCTTCAATCTCACAAAAATTGTCAGATGACGGACCCTGAGGAGGCCGACAAACCTCTGGGTAAGAGTCATCTCCAACCTAATAGCGGTGGCCTCTCCCTGTACATAACTTCCTCCCAAATCCTCGCCCTGCCTCCTAAGTCCTTGCGCTCCCTTTGCGTCGCCAGCAACACGGGCACCGGACTCGTCCAAACGCTCCAGAAAGGTGGACAGGAAGCTTCTTCTTGGTGGTTCAGTGGTTCATTCTATAGTAACTAAGTAACTGTATCCCTTGTTACAAGCAGTGCAACTAGAGGAAGTCCCCCCCAGCATGCCTGATGGGTTATATATGGTTATACCTGTGAAACCTTATGAAGTGACGAGCCTCATAGCTTGGTGCCAGCCTCAGGGGTTCGCGCTACTGGCTGACTCTGACGGACCCCTCGAAGCCTTGCTTTGTCTGGCGGGGGCTGGGCGTGGTGCAGACCTGTCAGATGCCTCCAACGGCGCTGGCAGAGGGGGACTGCCTGCTGTGGGTGGCTTGAAATGGAAGGAAGCGAGCTGAAGGGGGGCTGGTGGTCTAAGAATGCATCATGATCCGGTACAGTTCTTCCACACAATTAAAAAACGTTTTGTGCCTGCGCCTTAATGTACATAGGATAGCCAAAAAGAGAGTGGCCTTAGAGACGAGTGGGAAAAAGGGCTTGCTTGAAAAAGACCTGGTTTTCGAAGGTTGGAGAATGAGTGGTGTTCTAGCATGCACAGGTAAGACTGAGAGGTGTAGCAGATCGTCCTCCTCCACGGCACGAAGCATTAAAAGAGGGGGAACTCTCCAACTAACCGGGAGACCCAAGAGGTCTGGTCGTCCCTTTTCCATCCAACGCCCAAATTGGGTCTGGAGATCGCTGCAACGCCCACGTGCACTGCGTGCTTCGTCTCGCCCACGAGCCGAGACGACGACGGATACAGAGATGCCGCAGATCACCTGGCGCAAGTTGCAGGGGCCGCACGATCGTGCCTTGGCGATCAGGTGGAGAGGTGGTCGAGCGAGCTTTGGTGAGCATCGGATAGAGCGGGGTAGATGGAGAAGGTTTGAGACAGAGACCTCGGGTTGCGGGCGGGCCAGGTAAGGCCCCCAGCCTGGCCGCCCACCATCCGCCGACCAACCGATGTATTGTAGTTTATGCTGTCGCCGCTGCTAGCGACCCCAGAGGAAATCGCGATTTTTGGTGGTGTCGGGTTGGTTGATGTGGGGTGGGGTGGGGTTGTCTGGCGACCCGCGAAGGTTTAGGACAGCGTGACGCAAAGCGCGTCGATCAATATGTCCGCAGTTTTCAGTTTCGGTGGAACAACAGAGGAAATTTGCTTGAGGCGTTGGCCCGAACGTGGCCGCAAGTGTAAAGGACACACACCTCCAAAGCACGTGTGCGCCAAAGAAAGAGTGCACTTTCGGCTCTTCCCCATTCTGAATTCCATGTTACAAGTGCCGTCTCTTCTAAAAAATGGGATGAAAGCACATATGATCCAACCTCTCCAAAATGAATAAGTGAAAAGAAGGGAGATTTTGAGCACTGTCCACTTCGGCACTGTGCGAATCGCACAGGGTCACTATTAGCGGCGGTACCTTTATGCTGTCTTTTGTGTTTTGTGGCCTTCCAATCTTTGTGCTTTGGGTCACATAGCTATAGACAGCTCTACAAGTTTGTCTCAAAAGCTGTTGCTGCGGCCTTGGCGATGTTCACTGCGAGGTGCTGTAGTAGGGAATGCCAGTCCAATCCCTTGGGTCTTTTCTTTCGCTCCCAAGTCCGGCGAGTTGTAAAGTTGAGACAAACCTCCCTGGAAAAGAAGCAAGCAAAGAACATTTGGACTTTCGGGCCCCCGGTTCATGGAGACCCCTTTGTTACCTCGTAAGGCCCGGGACCGATCCTTGGAGTCGGCATCGCTCGGTCAGCGTCGCCACGTGTGACGGCGATTCTTGTAGACTCGAGATGAATGTAGACTCCTGATTAGTAAGCCTGGAGCCTACCTCATTTGGATTGAACAGGTGGGGTTATGAATCATTAAACATCAAGACGTCTACATGTTTGGCAGATTCTTCCATGGCGTCCATGGCGCCATTATTTCACGCCATTGAACACCTAGAGCCCAGACATGACCCCAGTTTTGATGGGAGTTTGGGGCCATATTTGGGCAGTTGGTCCAAAATTGAAGGTCACTCAGCTTCGTGTGGTGGAGATGCCACAGTACCCTGACTTCGAGCCAGGCTATGACCGAATCGTCTTCTACAAACTCTTAGGCCCCAATGGCTTTGCAGCTTGGGCCCACGGCGTTCCGGGCGTCGAAGGTTCAAGAGATCCAGCCCTTCTGACACTGTATGGCGGCGGGTCAAATTTCCATTGCGGGTTGGAGGATGGTCACACTTTTTTGGTTTCCGAGTCGTTTGGTTTCATATACACAAAAGTAGGTTCCCCATGATCAGAGTGATGTGTCTTGTCAAAAAGAGTTGTTTTTTCCCAAAGAACACCCACCCGTTTAGAACATTTTCATGTTTTACCAAATCCGTTTGCATGCCGGCTCCGCGGTCCGAAGCAGCCAAGCCATCAACGACCCCAGGGCGTATTCGAATACGCGCCGTGGTGCAACACCACGCTGCCGGTAAGGAATACGTGAAGCACCAAGAGCTGCAAGGCTTCCGGCCGAAGCAGCTCTTTGGGAACAGTGGCCCGGCCGAGAGGTGCTCGCAAGTGGGCACTGGCCACCAGGTCTCCGCGGCCTCGAAGTCGTTGCGAGCTGGTGGATGGGTTTCCTCGGTTTCTTCGGGCGTATCCCAGGTTTCCCCAAACAGGGTTTGATTCATCAACAGTCTATATTCAGAGAACTTCTACCAAGCCTTCGCCGTAGCTCACGTGGAACCCCATCCCAAAGAACCCAGGACGAGTGCTTTTCCACTCACAAAGCCTTCGGGTTTGGGTGACTCCGCGCTTGCACCGGGACTTTCTGAGTTGATGACAACCTCCACAGGACTCCTCAGGTTGGCAGATGGCAAAGAAACTCACCGGTGATTTCAAAGGATTTGCCGGCAGAAGAGCGAGTTGAGATGAGCTTAGAATCGTGCGACGAGTCTGAGGTTTTATGCAAGACTTGGAGGTTGGCGTGGAGATGCTTGGCAGACGAGATCCGAAAAGGTGTGTTTCTGTGCTGAGATTCTTTAGACCGTCAACTGACACACCGTTGCACAAAACCTAAATGGCAACGCTGTCCTTCATGAAAGTGAAAGTGCCTCAATTTTCTTTCCTTCTTCCCGCCCAAAGCGGAACCACCGGAGGTTGATCTCCACCAGGGTGGCTGATGGAAGCCCTGCAAACTGGCCCTGAATAGATATTATTTGTCGGGCCCTGGAAGATATGGCTGCGCATTGCAGGGAGATCCTGAAAAGAGCTCCTGGTAAGGGGAACATCAATAAGAACACAGTAGGATCGGATTCAACCCCATTGGGCCAGTGGGTGTCTCGCCAGTTGAGCTACACCGGTTCTTTGGGGCCACACTTCCAGAACAAGGAGGGAGATGTGATAATCTCATATCCTGTACAACCCAGTGGCTTTCAGGGTCTATGATGGTCTATGGTCATTTGCTGGAGGGCCCATCTGTCCAGGTTCTGCTTCACCATCTTCACCCCCTGTTTTCGCTGGGCAGGGCGGGTGTCGACCTCGACCGACTCGACCGACGAAGTACCGAGCGGGTGGACGAGCGAGCGCGACGAGCTCGGGGCATCCGAGGAGTTTTCACTTCGAAGAGCTCCGAGAAGATCAGGCGCCTCGAGAGCTCGATCGATGGAGATCTGGGTTCCATCCATTGGTTTTTTCTCTGTGTGAAAAAGAGAAGGAACTCTTGGATTGCGGCCAATCCATGTACCCAAGCAACCACAGACAGTTCGAAGATTCTCTCATTCTACAAGGATGTGTTTCCAATCATCGCCCTATTTGCTTCAGACCCTCTATGGAGCACCACCTTGCAGTTCTTTTCAAAGTGATAGAAGGATCTCTTCCAATCGACGTGCCACTTGCTATTTGGCACAAGGCCCCTCCGGACTTTGCATACACGGCCAGTAGGTTCCTCCTTTTCACCCCCAAATCCGAGGACGAGCCTAGCAGGTCAAATCATCGCAACGGTCACCCCTAGCAGCTCCGAACTCAGGTGGTGCGTGGGTATATCTCCTACGAGCGCATGCCCAAGGAGAGGGTGGGAAAGGGGTCCCTGATTCCAAACCCCGGTTTGCCGGTTTGCCAGCAAGCCTGTGGGCCCTCAGCTGGGCCACATTTTGGATGTGCCCAGAACAAGACATGGGAAGTTCTCACAGCAGACCTGCACGAGCTGAAAACCCCTAGCCACTGGATCTGACCCTGCCAGCTTCGGGTGGAGGAGCGTCAAGAACCCATGGAGAACGGCGCCCCGGCGCCGGTGCGGGTGCCTTTTGAGAAGACCGATTGGAACAAGGACGGTCGACGGGTTGGATCGGTCCAACACGTTCAGGTCGTCCCCCAAAGTTCGATGCCAGGGCCCCCACTTGTGTCCGGGCATCGAATAGAGGTTGCAATGGCAAAGGCCAGCCCTTTCATGGGCTTAGCTAGCAAACTCATGCAAACTCCCTACAGCTTCGGAAGGGAGGACATCTCCAACCACCCCGTGCTTGTCGTTTCCCGTCGATCGGCACCGAAGAACTTGGATCTGCCGCACTTTCGAGCCCTGCACGGCACGTCGCTCCACGTCCTCCAGTCAGTTTTTTTTTTGGAGCAGCGAAACCTTGACACCGAAAAAAGTTTTTTTTTTTTTTTTTTTCAGACCTCGCCCACGGTGGTCTTTCCAGTTCTTCGCAGGAAAGCCGCACCTTCATTGCGGAGGTGGGTTTTTTCCTTCGCTTCGTGAGGGGGTGGCGAGTCGAATCAACGGTTGGGTCCCAAACACCAGGGGGATGGACACCCCTCAGTTGACCCGACTTCACCGACCGGAGCGACCGCACTGGCCGGTCGCTAAGGGGTGGATAATGGACACCCCTTAACTTCTATGGGGCCCATTTTTAGGCGCCCCTTAGGACTGCTTTCTTTTTGCTTGGAGCCTCCTCCAGCTTGGTCATCCCACCCTGCACTCGGCGAACGGCACACTCATGTCATCAAAAAAGGACGACAGAGGTGGATGACCAAGTGCGCAAGAGATGACGTCGTTGCTACCCTCTCTCCAACGTCTACGTCCGGGCCGTCCTTTTGCGATGGAATCCTCTTCAAGACACAGCACCTGAGCTTCATGGATGCCATTGAGGGGGCTCCGACCGATCTGACGTGGCTCAAAAATACCAGCGTTTCCTGTGCTGGAAACAAGGAACTGACAAGAAGAGCGCACTTGGAAAACCCAAGTCGGGCAAAGCAGAGAACCATCTTCGAGAAGTGGACATCCTGTACTTGGTACACGTTTGGGGCTGACTTGGCTCGAGCAAGATGTGGTGATTTGGCGCTCCATTTTGAGAAAACCTACAGGTGACCCCAGGTGCGGG